TCCTTGTAAACAACCCCTGCTATTAGTACTCTGTGTTTGAGTTGTGTTCTATATTTGTTAAGTGGACCCTCCAACTGTAACATTTTCCTAGCTTTACAATTTAAAAACAATTTCTTACTTCTTTCTGTAACTGCTATAAAAACAGGAACTCACCTATCACACACACAAAAAAAAATAACAAAAAAAAATAACAAACCTGCTTTACCTAGTGATGCTTGTTTTCTCAACAAATTTATGAACATGTCTGCTGGTAGGCTGTTTTATGTTACTATCTTTCAAGAGAACTTACATGTGTATGTGTGCTTTAAAAAAAATTAAAAGAAGGATATTGAAACTTGTATAGCCTATTCTTTCTGACTCTAGAATATGTGTGATAATTGCAGGAAAAAGAATTCATTAATCATCATTTTAGTAAGAGGAAAATGACTTCAACTTTTCTTCTGACTATAAACAGATATGTTTTTTAATCCCTTAAAGCTTGAATATAGAGTTGATCAAAATAATACGATGAGAAAATGGATCACCTGACTAAACATATATAATACCTTGGCTCGTTATATTTTACTGTGATTAGAGAGTAGAAATATAGAAAAGGGAGTTAGTTTAATTTTATATACATAATAAAACAACCAGCTACACTTCAGGAAACCATAATTCAGGAAATAGACTCTGAGTTATATATTTTCACAGTATGGCATGGTTGTGCTACCATATGACTATGGCCTCAGATTAAATAAGCATAAGATGTCTGATTTTATTTGCAGGCAAAGGTACTAAAAAATGACACTCAGAACCTCTCTCATCTCTTAATGGTTCTGAGTCTTAATGCTATTAACAAAAAAAAAGGGGTTTGGAAAGTAAAACAGAAAAAGAATAATTTGTTAAGCAAGGGAGGATAAGAACTATAAGGGAGAGAGAGTGATCCAGTTACTGAGTATTGGTGCCTGGAAGTACATGCAGCCCTCAGCAGCTGAAGCTGGAGCTGAAGCCAGACTTGGGGCTAGGATCTGGGCCTAGGGGAATCTTACCAAGTCTAGCCACTGCTGTAATGGCACCTCTACATCCTGTGGGGTGAAGGTCCACAGACTACCTGGCCAGTGGTGCAACTGTTATCAAAAGCCTCTCCAACACAAAAGTGCCAGAGATTAGATCCCCTTCCTTTTGTAAGAGTTCCCTAAAATAGCTGCTCTGCACCACCCCCTTCCCAGAAGCCCACTAGCTCCTGAGTCCCACTCAAAGGCTTTCAATTCCAGACTTCAGCCAGCAGAGTTGGTCCTATGCTGCTGTCCCCACCTCCCATAGGAGGTGGGAGTAAGGAAGCTCCAACATTTGTGCAGTCAGGAAAAGTCCTCATTGGTTGCCACCAGTCCTGGCCTGGTGATACAAGGCCACTCCAACAGTTTAAGGAATTCCAGAGGCATTTTCCTAAATAATATATAAATTAGCAGTCATCTTTTTAATGTTTAAACTCAATGAAAATTATAATCTCCATATTCAGTAGGTTATATGATTTCAAGCCTCTTACATATTGAGTGTTATGCCCTCTGAGGTGGTTATTTTGTCACAGGACTGACTAGCATTTGCATATCTACAGCTTAAGTTCTCTAAAGCAATCTCAAATCTCCGTAATAAGCATAGAATTTCATTTATATACTCAGGTTTAAGCCTGATACTTTTTCGTGATGCTGTCTCTCTTAAAGGAGTCAAATTCACCTTTTTTTTTAAATCAAAATTATGAACTCAGGAAATGCAAGACTGTCCTTTCAAAGATGCTTAAAAAAAACAGATTAGAAGTGGGAAAGACTGAAAATGATAAGAAATTCTGCTCTTGGAAGGGAAGGTGTGAGAAAGGAATATCTCCTTTGCTTTATGTCCTCTTTATGTCCTTTTCCTGTCTTTGGTCCTAGTCCTTTGCCATTGCTCACACTCATTCAGCCTGAGGCCCTTTCCTGACAGACTTGCTTCTCAGCTTCAGGTCTCCCTTAAGTGTTTGGAATGGACCACCATTTAAAAATAGCACTCCACCCAAATTTTCTTTCCAATTACATGCCACACAGAGGGGCGCCAGGTGAGCAGGACTGTTTTGGCCTCATGGAAAGTGTGAGCGTACCCCTGCCTCCAAGGCATTGCAGCCAGCACCCTACCACTGAGCAGGGTGCCAGGTCAGCCTTCGACGAGGAGGACACAACAATATCCCCCAATATACCCACTGAGCACCCCATCTAGAGTCAGAGGAGTAGGCCATCATAAGATCCCGGGCTAGCTTGTAAGAGAACCAGAAGATGCACCTAACACCTAGAACAATACAAAATCAAAATGGGGAGAAGGAAAAACACAGCAAAGGACTACCTAAGTCCTCGGGGAACAAAATACTGCAGAGTAAGAACAAATTACCAGAACCAAGTCACAAACAAATGGAAGAGATAATCTTCCTATCAGATACCATACTCATAATTAAAATTGCAGTGATGAAGAAAATTAAAGAATTGGAATTATACAAAGAAAAAGCAGAAAAACAAGTGAATTTCATTAGAAATAAGATCAATGATCAAAAGACCAAAATTGAAATTCTAACTAAGAAAAAAATAAGAAGGGTCCTCCCCGGTGGCACAGCGATTGAGCGCTGGGTTACAAAGCTGCCTGCAGCCTCTGCAGCACCGGTTAGATCCCAGGCCACTGGCGAGGGTCCCACATGGTGCGCAGACCTTTCCTGCCACACGCTGCTCCCCTCAGCAGTGTACTTCATCAGTCTGCCTGTTCTGTTCTCTGCTCTGGCTCTGGTGAATTCTCTCACCCACCCGCACTTCTGACTTACTTATATAAATAAATAAATTTATACAGTGCTTAAATAAATAAATAAATAAATAAATAAATAAAATATTTTAAAAAATATATGGAAATACAGGATATAAAAAGAATATAAAAGGAGATGAAAGTAGAGTAGACCAAATCAAAGAATGAATCAGTGTACTTAAAGATGAGAATGAACAAAGAATCCTGATAGAAAAGGAAAGAGAGACTTGATTATTTTATAATTTGAAGTTTTTTGACTGTCCCCCATTTCACCCATTTTCACTCATTTTGCCCACTACTCACCTCATATATTGCACATCCCTCACCCCACAGCCATAAATCTGTTCTCTGTATCTGAGTTCATATTTTATTTGCTAGTTTTCTAATTTCCAATTTTAAGTGAGATTATACAGTACTTGTTGACAACCTGGGTTTTTTTTTATATTCATGCTTAAGTTTAAGGTTTAACTGCCATATATGTGGATATATTTAGAACATCACCTCACTGTAAAGGTAATTTCTTGAAATATCTTGAGTTTTGAAATATTTTGCTTATTTCTTTCTGTTTCCCTTAAGAATCTTTTCCAATGGAAAGAACTCAATACATGAAATTATATTGTTTTAGAAATTAAATACCAAAATATAACTCCAGTATAAAAAGAAATAGGCCCAGTTCAGAGACCGATATTGTGATTTTAGACCCAATTAGAAGGAAATGTGTGGTATACTTTCAATAACACAGAGTATACCAATGTGTATTATAAAATTATTTGCTGTATCTTTTACATATTTCTAAGAAGAAAATTTACATACAGATGTTACATTGAATAGCAAGATGGTATAAGTTTAAAAATAGTTATCTTGCCGTATTTCTCTTTGTTTTCCAGTGTCAGGAGAAAAATTTTATTAAACTGTAGAGTTAAATAGTTTGTGTTAATGTGCTGAATCCATTTGCATCTTATGGAGTGATTTCATTTGTTATGCACTAGCTGGCTGGCAGAGAAATCGAACAAGGCTGATATTTTAAAGTTATAATGTCTCACTCACTGACTTAGGGAATCTAAAAATAAATCTAAAAATAAAAAGTGTTGCATGCTATATTTGACTACTCAAGCGACTGAAACATAACTTTTCTCTACCAGTTCCCAGTGGACTTTTCCTGGGAAGTTAGTTGTCATTGTTCTGTCAAGTTTCTTTTCATTCTAAATTGTGCTAAGAATTAAAAAGAAAACTAAAGGTCGTAGAAAAAAATTTAAATAAACACATCTCTTCATTTATTTTGTCAACTTTAAAATTGTACATTTGATTTAGAGCTGTACTGAAAGAAGATGCCAAACTCTTGGCATTCTCAAGATATATGTTTTACAAATTTGAGAATTCTCCTGATTCACACATTGCTTAACTTCTCCCTTAAATTCTGTTTAACTTTAATTGTAATTCTCAACTGGAAGGAAGAATAGTGTGCTATCTTCCCTACCCACCAGAACATATAAGAATCATTGGGAGGAACTTTTTCAAAGTACACATGCCTTCCTTCCTGTGTCCAACAGAAGCATTCCTACCTAAATTGAATATCACTGCATGAAATTTTGGGTGTTGCTATTTGGGAGTGTGTTGTGCAGATAATGTAAAGCAGAAAGGAGGGAGGGAAAAGGGTGTTTTATAAAAGGCCCAAATTTTTAAGTGTTAAACAGTTTTTTCTCCAGGTTCAGGAACAGTATTTTCTTAGGTCTCTTCATTTTCTATTCTTCTTATTTTATTATCATCCCTAGCAGAGTTCTTGTGTAAGCACTAGAGTAAAGAAAAGCAAAGCAGGGATGTGGATGCCATAGCATAGGTGGCTTACTGCTAAGATGAGTCATTAACTTCTGTATCCTAGACAAGGCCAAGTGAGTATATCCAGTGAAATTACTATCATAGGGCCTTCAATATTCTCTAGTAAAATTGCTATTCTGAGTGAACGCTACACCAGTCAGTATCTTTTATACCTTTAAATGTAGTTGAAAACTTTCTGAGGTCTATGGTTCTGTCTGTTTGAAGATCCACCTTCCTCGGTACAATAGAACCAGAAATGACAGTGACAAGGATAATCTTATCTTAGAGGGTTGGTTCCAGAGTGCTTTAATCTCTCACTAAAGTACCTGAGGACAAATGAGAAGCCTAAAATGAGAAATACTAATGAAATTCTCTGATTGTTTTATCTGCAGACTGCAGCTGAATATGTAAAATCTCGACTCCCAGAGGCCCTTAAACAGCATCTTCAGGACTATGAGAAAGACAAGGAAAATAGTGTATTGTCTTACCAGACCATCCTTGAACAGCAGATTCTATCAATTGACCGAGAAATGCTAGAAAAATTGACTGTATCCTATGACGAAGCAGGTATGTTTGTCTTTAATACAAACAATTATTTTCCCTGTAGAAATTTCTCTTTATGCCTTGGTTATAATTAGGCTCTTTTCTGAGATAGAATATGAAGGACAATCTGAATTCAAACTCATATAGCATGGATTAACAATAAGTTTCCTTCTCGGTAGTTTTATTTTTCAAGAGATTCCTAAAAATGATTCTTAAATATCAAACCTCCTTATAACACCATTTTTCTCTTCTACATAATCTGTCAGCTATTTTATTTATTTTTTTGAAGAACCAACTTTTGGTTTCATTGCTCTTTTGGATATGTGTTTTTTTCAGTTTCTATTTCATTTATTTCTGCTTTCATTTTTATTATTTCCTTTCTTATACTGGTTTTAGGGTTTTTTTGTTATTCTCTTTCTAATTCTTGGAGATGTGAGATTAGGTTGTTTCTTTGAGTTCTTTCTTGTTTCTTGATGTGAGCCTGTATTGCTACATATTTTTCTCTTATTAATGCTTTTGCTGCATCCCATACCTTTAGGAAATTGGTATCCTGCTTGCCATTCAACTCACAGTATTTTTTAATTTCTTATTTGATCTCCTCATTAGTCCAGTGGTCTTCCAGTAGTGTGGGTTTCAATCTCCATGAGGTAGGAGGGTTCCTTGCCTTCTTTTTATGGTTTATTTCTAGTTTGATGTCTTCATGGTCTGAGAGGATGGTTGGTATGATTTCAATCTTGGAGTATCTGTTGATGTTGGTCTTGTGTCCCAGTATGTGATTGATAAAACCCAATTTTTTTAAACCATTATGATATTACTTGGAATTGTTAAAAATTGTTAATAAAAATTAAATTTGGGAGAAATATCTTGATTAAAATTATCATACCTTTTCCTCTGAAATCCCCCCAAAATAAAGGAGGAAGGTAGACTTCCAATGGTCAAATGTTGGTAGTAATCCCTATTTTAACACCAGGACCTACATTGCTAGTCTTGTTCAAGACATCTCTCTCTGTTTGTCCTTTGTTTTTTTAATTTTTCAGACATACAAACTACCTATGGTTAGTTTTTGGTTTGTCTGTGTCTTGTTTTTGACATTCTTGTCTTTAAAATAATAATGTCTCCTCTCTCATTCATAATGGATAAATTAAGGCTATGATCAAACCAATTAAAATAATATTTAAATATTCATGGCATCTTATAGAGCTCACAACTCATATAGTCCATTCACTTCCTGTCTCCCAAAGCATATAATGGTGAGTAAATTGAGACCTACAGATTTTTCAGAAATAATTGTGATTTAGACACCTAATTACTACTCAAGTTGGGCTTTCAGGCTTCCCCTGGTGGTGCAGCGGTTGAGCGCTGGGCTGCGAGGCTGCCCGCAGTCTCAATAGCGCCGGTTCAATCCCCAGCCACCGGAAAGGATCCCACATGGCACGCAGACCTCTCCTGTGGTGCCCGCTGCTCCCCTCAGCAGTGTATTTCGTCGGTCTGCCTGTTCTGTTCCCCGCTCTGGCTCTGGTGAATTCTCTCACCCTCCCACGCTTCTGACTGTACCCAGTGCTTGTATGAATAAATAAATAAATCTTTAAAAAAAAAAAAGTTGGGCTTTCGTCACACTGATGCATATTCTCATTCCTTTAGTAGGCATTTGTTGAATTTTCAGCAATATATATGCACTTGGAAGAAGAAAAATGTATTGAAAGGTAGGATAGAATCTTAGATGTAAAAATCAAAAATCTTGTTTAAAGTCCAGATGGAAGCTAAAATATATATTGATGAGTTCTGGAGAAAAATTCTAAGCAATTTAGGAGCAAATGCACTCTGTAATACCCACAAGCTATTAAAATAAACTCTGGACATTTATAATCAAATAGTGAAAGTGGCTCAAAACCTCAATAGAATTCCTTAGGTGGGAGGACGTTAGTTTAAACCCTGAAAAACAAAAGATGATTGTGGATTTGTGTTGAGAAGAGAGATGCATTCTATCGTCTATGGATGTTGTCCAAGTAGACACCATGGTGGAAATGAGCATCAGCTGCAAACTCCCACCACTTAATTTTCCTTCTTCACAAATACCATTCACCTGCACTGTTGTTGAGCAACTGTTCATCTGCAGAAGTACACTCGCAAATGCCTTTAAGGGCAAATACTTTGACATAGGACTTATCTATAAATGAACTCTCTAGCAAGAAACAGTAGAAATAACTGCAAAACTGAGAGCTGAAGGATCTAAATTCTAGTTCTTCCCTCTAGCTTAATAATCTTTAATATTTTAGTTTATAGTTGCTTGTTGATTTTGATTTTTACTTTGATTAGTCTTTTTCCTGGTCCCTTATTTAGGTTTTCTAAATTTCTGCTATGAGTGAGACCATCTGGTATTTTTCTTTTTTTTTCTGGCATATTTCACTGAGCATGATCCCTTCCAGCTCCATCCATGTTACTGCAAATTGCATGAGTTTATCTTTTTTGATTACTGAGTAATACTCCATTGTGTATATGGTGGGGGGGGAGTGAGTAGGATCAAAACAAGGGTGATGGGAATTGTATGGGGACTATATCCAAGATGAAAATGCATACATTGTGCAAAAATGAAAAATGATGTAAAAAATATATAAAACTTAAAAAATTTAAAAAATAAAATAAAAACTTAATGTTTAAAAACAATAATAATCTTAACATTTTAATCTCTTAGATCCTCTGTTTCTTCATTTCTGAAGTTAGACTAGTAATATTCAACAAAGCTATTACAATGATACAATATATCATGTTTATGTTAGTCCTTAGAAATCATATTCCAGATGTGCTAATGCTGAATGAGAGCACATTTGGATCTTGTCTCTCTCTCAGGCCAGTTTAAAGTACTCTTAACATGTAGTGTTTGGAGAGACAGAGGACAATTTTTAAAAATTATCTTCAGAAGCTTGTAAAGGAAAATAATGTCTTTTTGTTAAATTACCTACACTGGGCTTATTTTACTATTGGTCATTCTTGTATGAGGTGAAACATTTGCTGGGTATATGTATATCTATGAATAAATGAAAGTCACTGTCTTCTATTCTACCATCCAAATATTACTGATTTCATTCAAAGAAAGAAGAGAAAAATATAAAAAGATATTGCTATTTAACAGGAAAATACTTCGTCATAATACAAAAGAATCTGGATAGAAAATTGGTAATAATATCCAATACCTTCAAATATAAGCATTCTAAAGTAGTACTCATTTGCTTCAACTGCTTAGTTTCTTTCCTTGCTATCCCAATTTTTATATCCTCACATTCTTAGTTTAGCCTTTCCAGTTTTAGGAAGTAATTACTTATTAAATGGGAGATATTTTGGTCTCTAGAGAGTTAATTTGTCATTAATCCTCATTTGCTGATAAAGCAACCTAAGTAATTTATCACAGTAACTACCATCTGTGGCTTCTAAACTTCTGAAAAACCAATTAGTGAGAAAACCTTACATACTTGTCTAAATGCATTGGCTTCAAACCTATTACTTATCCTTCTCTCTTTCTTCTCTCTCATTATCCCCCTTCCCTATTAAAGATATACATTCCTAGTGCTTTATTCATCCACAATTCAACTGTCTAGTAACCTGATAAACCTGAAATTCAGCAAAGAAATAGGAAGTGGGCAAAAGCTACATGTAATCATGCTATGTCACAAAATTGTGGGCAATCCCATATAACAGAGGCTTTAGATTCTCACATAGTCTATGCATTTTATTTTGTACAGATCTGACCGGTCATGTAACATTTAAAAATGTGATATTTTCTTTTTAAAAATTCTTTTTTGGACTTTAACATATTAGACTTTAATTGTAGAAATAAGTAAAATGGTATAATAAGAGAATAATATTTGTAATCCTACCATTGTAAATGTTTTGGTAGATTTCCCTCACTGAAAGTATTTTTGAAATGTGGATAATATCTTACAGTTTAATATCTTGCTCCTTTCACTTATTATTACATAAGGATTTCCTTATTTCATTTATTCCTGTTCTTTTGAAGATAATTTTAGGTGCAATCTATTCTTTGAAAGTATAATTCATTGTCTTTTGTTGGACGTTTATGGTATTCTTTTGTTTTTGCTATGATGAAGAATGCCACAAAAAATATGGTATGAATTTGTCTGTATGCCATAGTATTCCATAGACTAGATATTAGAAAACATGTGTATAGGAATAGAATGCAGGGAAAAGGTGATGATACTTGGCGTATTATGAGACATGGAGAGTAGCAAGTATTAAGAACAAAGAGTAAATCCGTAAGTATTCATAAAAAGTAGTTATGATATTCTCAGCACTGAAGTATACTCTAAGTAAAATCATCATTTATAGACTTTGTGTTATACAATTAACAGTATTACTCTTCATAACAATGACCTTGATTCACAGAAAAAAAAGGTTCAATTATGCTAATTATATACTACATATAAAAATAGGAATTGTATAAACCAATTTAGAAAGATTTTCATCCACATGGTTTATTTTTTAAGTTTCGACTATTACAGGATTGAACAGGTCTTGTGGTATTATTGAAAGAGGTCTTGGAATTAAATTCCCATATTTTATTACTCGTTCTGCTGTAAACTTGTCATGTGAACTCAAGTAATTCACCAAAGTTTCCTAAAGCACATATTCCTATAAATAAAAGGCATAAACAGTATCTCATAGATGTTTCACTTCTGAAACTATGGCTGGTCTCTTGACAATGGAAAATTCAAGTATCCTTAGTTCTGAAAGGTTGTAGATAACTTCTTTAGTCTTCTGCTTGCTCTGTAGTCTTTCTCTTCTCTCCTCACACAGTCCATTTAGTTTAAACATATTAAAAGAAGACCATCATTCAACTTTCCTGCACATGAATATGTTCAGGTATAGTTTTTCTGGTAGGATGAGAGAGTGAGGCTGTATGAATCAAACAGAACTTGGTTTTGGGAGAGGTTCTGATCCATCATTCATGTATTCTCATTAAGATATCTAAGATATTTTTATTAATGCTAAGTAAAATTCAGAGTAAGAAG